CTGCTTCCTTCCCGTGGGCAGCCTGGGCTCTCATTCCCATCATCTGGAAAAGACCAGCGTCCCGTCTGTGCTAGTGTCCTAGGGCTGCCGTAACAAAGCACCCCAAGCTGGGTGGCTTAAACAGTTCTGGAAGCTGGAAGTCTGAGATCGAGGTGTGGGCAGGGTTAGTTTCCTCTGAGACCGCTCTTCTTGCCTTGTGGCTGGCCCTCCGCTCCCTGTGGCTTCACGAGGCCCTCCCTCTGTAACCGCGTCTGAACGTCCTCTTATGAGGATATCAGCCATATGGGATCCCGGCCCACGCTGATGACCTCCTTTCAACTTAATCACTTCTTTAAAGACAGGATCTCCCCGGGCCAGGCATAATGGCTCACGCCTGTAATCCCAGCACTCTGGGAGGCTGAGGCGGGAGGATCGCTTGAGGTCAGGAGTTTGAGACCAGCCTGAGCAAGAGTGAGACCCCATCTCTACTAAAAAATAGAAAAAGAGGCCGGGCGCGGTGGCTCACGCCTGTAATCCTAGCACTCTGGGAGGCCGAGGCGGGCGGATAGTTTGAGGTCAGGGGTTTGAAACCAGCCTGAGCAAGAGCGAGAACCCGTCTCTACTATAAATAGAAAGAAATTAATTGGCCAACTAATATATATAGAAAAAATTAGCCGGGCGTGGTGGCGCATGCCTGTAGTCCCAGCTACTTGGGAGGCTGAGGCAGCAGGATTGCTGGAGCCCAGGAGTTTGAGGTTGTTGTGAGCTAGGCTGACGCCATGGCGCTCACTCTAGCCTGGGCAACAAACTGTCTCAAAAAAAAGACAAAGAAAAAATAGAAAAAGAAAAAGAAACTGTGAGAATAAATGGGCGTTGTTTAAAAAGTAAATAGGCCCGGTCGTGGTGGCTCACGCCTGTAATCCTAGCACTTTGGGAGGCCGAGGCGGTCGGATTGCTCAAGGTCAGGAGTTCGAAACCAGCCTGAGCGAGACCCCGTCTCTACCAAAAATAGAAATAAATTAATTGACCAACTAAAAATATATATTACAAAAAATTAGCCGGCATGGTGGCACATGCCTGTAGTCCAGCTACTCAGGAGGCTGAGGCAGGGGGAGTTGCTTGAGCCCAGGAGTTTGAGGTTGCTGTGAGCTAGGCTGACGCCACGGCACTCACTCTAGCCTGGGCAACAAAGTGAGACTCTGTCTCAAAAAAAAAAAAAAAAAAAAGTAAATAAAGACACGATCTCCAAATATAGTCACATTCTGAGGCACTGGAGTTTAAGGCTTCCGCACATGAATTGGAGATGAGGGGGCAACAGACACAGTTCGGCCATGGCACCATCTTGCAGGTGGAACAACTGAGGCCTAAGAGGGTCAATGACTTGAGTTAATAGTAGGCAGGGCCAGGCCTAGCACTGGGCAGGAGCCCCTCTCTCTCTGCTTCCACCTACAACCTGGCTACCACGGCTCTGCCCCAAAGAGGAAGAGGCTGGAGGGTAAAGACAGCCCTCGAGCCAATTCCCCCAGTCCTCCCAGCTGGTGGGAAGCGAGAGGTCAGGCAGGGTCAGAAACTCTCTAGGGCAGTGTTGTTCAAACTTTTGTGTGCACAGAGATCACCTGGGGACCTTGTTAAAATTAAGTCATTTTATTTATTTGTATTTTATTTTTGAGACAGGGTCTTGCTCTGTTGCCCAGGCTTAGATGCAGTGGTGCAATCATAGCTCGCTGCAGCCTCAGACTCCTGGACTCTAGAGAGCCTCCAGCCTCAGCCTCCCCAGTAGATAGGGCTATAGGTGAGACACTACTCCTGGCTAAAACTCAGTAATTGAGTTAAAATGAGATCATTAAGGTAGGCCCTAATCCAATCCAGATTCTGATTTGGCCTGTCTGGGGAAGGGCCCAAGATTCAGCATTTCTTTTATTTTTATTTTTTTGGAGGTGAGATCTTGCTCTGTTGCCCAAGCTAGAGCGCAGTGGCATCATCCTAGCTCACAGCAACCTCAAAACCCTGGGCTCAAGCAATCCTCCTGCCTCAGCCTCTAGAGCACCTGGGACTACAGCTGCTCTCCACCATGTCTAGCTAATTTTTAAATTTTTATAGAGACAGGGGTTGGGGGTGCTTCACTATGTTGCTCAGGCTGGTCTTGAACTCCTGGCCTCAAGTGATCCTCTTGCCTCAGCTTCTCAAAGTGCTAGGATTACAGGCATGAGCCACTGTGGCTGGCCTGCATTTCTAACAATGCTTCCAGATGACGCTGGTGCTGCAGGTATACGGGCCACACTGTGAATAGCAGCAAGGTTTAGACCGGCACTGTCCACTAGAAATGCAATGCGAGACACACATGTCTTCTTAAATTCTCTAATACCACATCAAAAAAAGTAAAAAAAAAAAAAACATAAAAAACCCCGGTAAAATTAACTCTAATACATTTCACCCAATATAACCCAAACATGATCATTTTAGAACATTATTAAGCCATCTAAAAATCATTAATGAGGCCGGGCATCGTGGCTCATGCCTGTAATCCTAGCACTCTGGGAGGCTGAGCTCGAGGTCAGGAGTTTGAAACCAGCCTGAACAAGAGAGAGACCCCGTCTCTACTATAAATAGAAAGAAATTAATTGGCCAACTAATATATATCGAAAACATTAGCTGGGCATGGTGGCTCATGCCTGTAGTCCCAGCTACTTGGGAGGCTGAGGCAGGAGGATCACTTGAGCCCAGGAGTTTGAGGCTGCTGTGAGCTAGGCTGACGCCACGGCACTCACTCTAGCCTGGGCAACAAAGCAAGACTCTGTCACAAAAAAAAATCATTAATGAGATAATTGACATTCTTTTTTTGTACTGTCTTCAAAATCCAATAGGTATTTTACATTTACAGCACATCTCACTTTGAACTTGAAATTCTTATTAGAAATACTTCATCACACAGTTTACAGTTAAAAAAAATAGAATCACATACCTTCGTTGATCCAAACCTACTTAAAAGTTTACCAGAAATGGAATTCAGTGTCAGTTTTTAAATTTAAGTTAATTAAAATTAAATAAAAATTTAAGAAGCTACAGGTGGCTAAGTGGCTGCTGTCTAGGACAGCACAGGACTAGACCACCAGGGAGAAGAATGATAGAAAGGAGAGATTCCCCAGCTCCAGAGAGGACTTGGGACAGAAGCAGCCCACGAGCCAGAAGCAGCCCGGGCAGGAGCCCAGGGAAAGGGCTGTGAGAAGCAAAGAGCTCAAGGTGACCCAGGTGTACCCCAAGATCTAAGTGCCGGGCATCACAGCCGCACTGGAGGACGGGGTCAGGAGAGGCAGGGGAGGGGCAGGGGCTGGCCCCAGGGCGCTCTCCTTTGGGGACACTCTCGCAGCCCCAGGGTTCTGGGGAGGGCACAGGAGGAGGAGGTCGGGGTGGGTAAAGAGATCCCAAACCTGCCAAAAGTAGGAATGGGTGGAAAAGCAAGAACTATCTTTGACGAAAACAAGAAAGCATTTCTGGGGCTGGATTCTGGAGAGTGACCTTGACACTGCTCTGGACACCTCCGGGAGGCAGATCAGGAACAGGGCTGGGCATCATAGGGAGCTGCCTGGAGCTCAGAGCAAGGATGAGCTTTTAAACAGGCGAACTGTCCAGCACTGGAAGTGGGGAGCTTCCTGGCCTTGGAGCCCTGGACCGAGAATGTTCTAAAGGAATCACCTCCTCCCCACCCCAGTGGAATACCAAAGCAGAGGCTGGGAAGCCACCTGTCGAGGGGCCGCAGAGGGGTTTCTTCCTGCAGAGAGAGTTGGGTGAGTTCCCTCCAGCTAGGTGTGTACTCATCCTGTATTTGGAGTGACAACACTCACAGAGTACTCACCAAGCACCTGAGCTAAGCACTTAGCTGCTATTCGTCCTCACTAAAGCCATGAGCCTGGTCCTCTAGTCAGCCCCACTTCTCAGAGGAGGAAACTGAGTCACTGAGTGGTCGCAGCCAGAAGGTGCTGGAGCCAGGATTTACAAGTGGGCAGTCTAGTCCTAGAGTACCCCGACCCCTCCTCCCCACTGCACCATACCTTCTAGAAGGCAGGTCTGCCTGTCTTGTCCTCTCCCTGCTCAGCCTTAACTGGCTACAATTCCCACCTGGCCCCACTTGCTGTGGCGGCCGAAACTACCGCGTCGGGCCCCGCTGGCTGGGGGAGAGGGTAGAGCGGGCCTGGGTTCGCCAGAGCTGCCATTACATCTGCAATCACGTTTACAGTTTCCCTTCGCCTCTTTGCGTGTCTCATCCGGGGGTATTCTCTCACCCCCAGGATCCTGAGGGGAGAGAGGGCAGGGGAGAGGGAACAGGGCTGGCCCAGATCCCAGCCCCACGGCCCGGCTTCCACATGGCTGAGCAGGAACTCCAGAGCAGGAGCACACAAAGGAGGGCTTTGATGCGTCTCCAGCCAGGCCCAGGCCTCTCCCCTCTCCCCGCAGTTCTTCCTCTGCCCTGCTCGCGGCCTCCTGTGAGCCCGATTTAACGGAAACTGGGTGGTGAGAAGTTCCTTGTGACACAGTAATCCCAACCTGCTGACTGGGCCACGCCTCCAGCGGAGGCTACCTTCAAAGCTCCAAGACAATTCAGGTACCAGGTGGCCCCGAGGAGGAGCTGCCGACCTGGTAGGTAAGTCGATACCAGGGGCCTGCCTGGGCCAGGGAGCCCAGGACTGGGGTGAGGGGTCGGAGTGGGGAGACTGCATCGGAGGCTGCCTGTAAAACGAACCGCTGGCCACTCTTCAGGTTGAGCCAGGCCAATCTGACGGCAGATTTAGCAAATAAAAATACAGGACACCCAGTTAAATGTGCCCTATGCAATACTGGGGACACCCTTATGCTAAAAAAGTATTTGTCACTCATCTGAAATTCACATGTAACTGGGCACTCTGCATTTCAACTGGCAACTCTAGATGGCAGGGAATAGCATTGACAGGGTTTGAGGTTAGGCATTTTTCATTGTATATAGCTTGTAAATCCATGTTTTAAAAAAATCAAAGTTAACAGCTTAGGCATATTTAGAAAAGAGTTGCTGCACTGAATTTAACCAAGACTTTTCAAGATCGAGGTCTGTTCTGATGGTCTGCTTAACTGGCTGGGGGCGTCCAGCCACTATCTCTCCTGTCTGAGCTCCTGGGGGCAGTTTTGTCACCCTCTCTGTTCCTGTTCTGACAAAACTCAAGTGATGGTGCAGCAGCATTTCAGCGTGTCTGTCCCTGTGCCCACATATTTGGACATCTACCAGCCAGAAACGATGGCTTAGATTTGGTTTCTGTGGGTGGATTACAGTCCCTGGAACTTCCCTGTCCTTGCTGGGGCTGTGGAGTGGGAGGGGAAGAGATGGGACACTCTCAGATATTCCCTGGGATCCTCCAAGTGTCTTCGTGCAAGTTAGGCTAATGATAAGTTTGACGATAAAAAAGGGAGAGGGAACTATGTTTTATAGCAAGACACTGTGCCGGGCACATTGCACGAATTGTATGGCCTTCGTGGCAATTCTTTTTGGTAGGTACTATTATTATTTTCCATTTGCAGGTGAGACCCAGAAAGGTTAAATCACTTGCTGGGGCCACACAGGTGGTAAATGACAAAGCCCGATTCACCCCCAGGTCCCTCTGACCTCCAAGGTTTCTGTATCACCGGCTCTCCTAAGGAGTTTGCCTGTAGACGCCTTGGCTCTAGGGGTCAAACAGACTCCGTGTCAGGTGGGCACAGGTTTGAGTCTCAGCTCTGTGACTCCCAACTGTGACTAGGTAGCCGAACTGACCAAAGCCACCTGGTCAAAGGCCGGACAGGATGGGGAAGGGCCCTTGAAGGCACAGGGGCATGTAGGCGGGAGATGAGAACACCTGGAAACAGAAATGCTGTCTCCAAAACCGCCCGGTGGGGAAGCAGGTTGCCTTGTGGGCCATGAGTGAGATTTGTTCTGGGGGCCACGCACTGCTATGTGCAGGTTATTTAGTTACATCTCTCAACCCTTCCATCCCATTTTATAGGAGACAACCAAGACCCGTGTTAAATCACACAGCCTGCAAGTGGAGGAGACAGAATTTGAACCCAGGTCTGACATTTGAGCTGCAGCAGCCTGCCTCTTGGTGCTGACAAGAGGTCACAACCTGGGTTTGAGTCCTGATCCCTGGCTATTCTTGGCTGTATTACCTTGGACAGATCCCTCTTCTCCCGGCCCTGTTTGCTCCTATGCACAATGGGAATAATGCCAGCCCTGGCTCTGAGATAATGGGTCAGAAAATACTCAGTGCCTCACAAAGCACAGAACACATCCCCAGTGCTATGATTATGTAACCGGTCATCACCACTCCCAAGCGTGAATGCCCAGGGGAAGGGCCGTCCACCAGGCTGGGAAGGTTCTGAGATGCCCTTTCGGTTGGGGCAGGAAGGCCACAGAAGAGAGGAGGGACTGCCTTGTCCTGCAGTGATCCTGGAACTGAGAATGGAGCCCGACTCTAGTTTTGTGCTGGCTGGGCCAACTGTCCCAACAGTTGAGGACCTAAGGCTTGTGTGGGTGTCCTTCTCAAAGCCGCATTTCCCCAAGTGTAGCCCAAGAACCATCTCCTCCAGAGCCACCTGGGCCTGCTTTAAATTGCAGATTCCTGGGACCCAGCCCAGACCCCCAGAGTCAGAATCATGGGGGTGGGGCCCAGGCACCTCCATGTCTAACAAATGCCCCAAGTGATTCCAATGCAAGTGAAAGTTTGTGACCCACAGCTCTGAGACAGTAACAGAACGGTTTCTCTAACCACTGCAGCCCTGACTTCCTCTCCTAGGGAAGGGGCCGCCCGGAGAGGCCAGGACAGAGGAAGCAGGGCCCTTCCTTCCCCAAGGACTCAGTGTCTTCCAGAGGCAGAATGTCAGACGGGGTGAGTACCCTGTACCCTAGGCTCTCCTTCTCCCACCTTTCCTCTTTCCCGCCCTCCCTCCTCCCTGCTTCCCCATCATCTCCTCTGTCCAGGGTTATAGGCACACACCCTACAACCTCTCTGTTGGCCCTGACCCCCCAAAGAAGGAGTTGCAGCCATGACCTTGGGCAAAAGCACTAGTCTGGGGTCTGAGCAGGCCCATTTGCCTGGCCAGCTCAGGCTGACGGTGGGGGGGCGGGGCGCTGTTCCTGCTTCTTCCTAACTCCTTTCTGCCCAGGTGGGCACGTACCGCGTGGTCCCTGAAGAGGAACAGGAGCTCCGTGCCCAACTGGAGCAGCTCACGACCAAGGACCACGGGCCTGTCTTTGGCCAGTGCAGCCAACTGCCCCGCCACACCTTGCAGAAGGTGAGGTGGCTGGGGGTGTGGGAAGGAACACTCCAGGGAGGAATCAAGGGGAATGTGGCAGCATCCTCTCTCCTGTAGAAAGGGGTCCAGACCTGGCTCTCCAGGCCATCCTGGCCCTGTCCTAGGGGCCATCCTGGAGGTCAGGGCTATGGCAGCAACTGGGCTGCGCAGACACCCGGGCCAGCCTAATCCAAGACTGCAGCCCGGAGTCTCCGCACTACGGCTCACCCTAGACTCAGATCTGAGCAGCGCTGGCTCGGAAGTGGCCCTGGGGAACAGGGATCCAGCTGTTGCCCCTGCTGGGTAGGCAAGAGGCGGGAACCAGACCTACTTCCAGCTTGCTGTGTGACCTCGAGCAAATTGCTTTCCTTCTCTGGGTCTTGCCTTCTGTACTCGTGAAAGATGTTTGTTGGACTAGCTCAGAGGTGGTCAGACCGTGCTCCGTGGCGGTTGGCAGAGCTGGCTTAGGGCTGCTGGGGAGGATGAGAAGCGGCTGAGCTGAGCCGGGACTCCTGGCTCCCGTCTCTGCTTCCCTGGGCGTCTGCAGGGAAAGGTGCTCTTGGCTCCTCCGCACTTCCCTCCCCGCCCCCCTGCCCCCATCACGCTGGCTGTCGCTGTCTGTCCAAGGAGAGAGCCGCCTGACACACACAGTTCTCCTGGCCCAGCAACGGAGAGGAATGAGCGGCTCTGGGGCAGGAGGCAGGCTGCCATCTGCCGGGGACCTTTGTTTTTGTAAAGATCAGAATGGAGCCTGGGAAGCAGCAGAGTGAAGTGATTAGAAGTGGAGCCTGAGTAGGAGTTTCAGCACCACCCCTATCTGGGTAACCTCAGGCAGGAACAGCTTCACCTTTACAAGCCTCAGTGTGCTCATCTGAGAGATGGGGACAAGAATGCCAGGCGCGATGGGTTACAGCAAAGACTAAAAACCAGTGCATTCAAAGGACTTAGCAGGCGCCAAGTAAGGTCTCAGCAAGTACAGGCAGTTATTGTTAGAAAATTTTAGACCCTTGGCTATATCCTGCAAAGGAACCCAGGATGAGCAGTTTGACCTAATTTTCTCCAGACGTGACAATCTGAGGTGCTGCCGGCACAGATGCTGCCTCTGTGGGCAGCAGGGTGAGGGTCCCACTGCAGACCCCTCGGCCCGCCCAGCCGGTCTGGCTCTGGTAGGCGACTCCCCCTCCCCCGCCAATAACTCGGTGCCCACACCCTCGCTGTTCCAGGCCAAGGACGAGCTGAACGAAAGGGAGGAGACTCGCGCGCAGGCGGTGCAAGAGCTGCGGGAGCTGGTGCAGGAGCAGGCGGCCTCTGGGGAGGAGCTGGCAGTGGCCGTGGCCGAGAGGGTGCGGGACAAGGACAGTGCCTTCCTCCTGCGCTTCATCCGCGCCCGGAAATTCAACGTGGGCCGAGCCTACGAGCTGCTCAGAGGTGAGGCCCCCGCCGAGGGGACAGCCCTGGGAAGGCAGAGGCAGGTCAGGAGGATGGTGTTCGCCCTCACCCAGGCACTGAGGAGAGCTGCGGGGGGCAAGTCCGTTTCCCTGAGCCTCCACACCCTTACCTGGAAAATGGGCCCGTGCGTGAACTAAGTGGCCTCCAAGTTCCCTTTCAGCTCTGACGATGAATGCATGAGTGAATGGATGGAGTCTGTCAGGGCCTGATTCCTAGAGGTCTGGCTCCTCTCTCCTCTCTGCCAGCCCTGGGACTCGAGTAGAACTGGGGTACCCAATTTTGGAGGGGAGGGGAGGAGTTTCCCTTCCAGCACCCACCGCCAGAACCTAGGCTTTGGCTCCGGAATGCTGCTGGGAGGGGTCACCGCGGTCACCTAACCCTCTCACGCAGGGCAGCTGAAGACGGTGCCAGCACCGGCAATGAGCCCAGGGACAGAACCGCCTTGGCATTGCCGAACGAACACAAGTTCCCTAAAACCACAAACAAAAAAATAAAATCAAGTCTTTGGTGCTGGGGAGCGACAGGCTGTCTGAGCAGCCCCTCTGCAGGCTAATGGTTTCCCTTGTCTTCCTTCTTCCCTGAATGTCAACTCCTTGCCCTGCTGTGCTGACTGCTGTCTTAGGCCAAGGGGTGCCGCAGAGAACAAGACAGACAAGACTCCCCTTCCCTCAAGGAACTTATTATATTCTAATGGTGGAAATAACAGACCAGATATATAAGATAAAAAATATGGAGAATGTTAGATAGTGATAAGGAATAGAGAGAAAAATAAGAGAGGTGGACTCAAAGGCTCAAGGGGTTGAGGTTTTAGGGAAAGTAGCCAGGAAAACCTTCTGCAAAGAGAACTTTTGAAGAAGAACCCCTCCCTGGGCTCAAGTTTGCTGGTGCAGGCAGCCCTCCAGAGGCAGGGACCTTCTCAGGATGGGTGAGGAGGGAGTTGGAGGGCAGACGAGGCGCTGCAGGAAGCAGGGTGAAGGGCCTCTGTCCTGCTTGGGGTTTGGGTTTTATCCAGGGGCTCCTCCCTGGCGCTGCCCACACCTGCTCTCAGCGAAGCCTGCGCCCAGCTGGAAAACCTGTGCCTTGTTCCCATGGGAAAGAAAATAACAAATAATAATTGTCCTCATATTTAGGACTATACCCCATGTTTGCACAGCATACAGTAATGTTCACCCTTGAATCTCGTTTGATTGCAGCGACAATTTGGTGAGATAGGCCAATATTATTATGTGATTTTTGGGAGAGGAAACATGGGCCTCAGATGGGTCGAGTATCTGGCTCCGTCACACACAAGACATGTGGAAGAGGCTGGAAGAGGCCAGGTCTCTGACCCCCACCAGGTGGGGGGAGATGGGATGGGATGGCTCCCTGAGGGGCTCCTCCTTGGCGCTCCCTCCTGCAGGCTACGTGAACTTCCGGCTGCAGTACCCTGAGCTCTTCGACAGCCTGTCCCTGGAGGCTGTCCGCTGCACCATCGAGGCCGGCTACCCTGGTGTCCTCTCCACCCGGGACAAGTATGGCCGAGTGGTCATGCTCTTCAACATTGAGAACTGGCAAAGTGAGGAAATCACCTTCGATGAGGTCAGTGGGGGTTCACTGGGCTCCCTCCCACTCCGTGGGCTGGGTTCCCTCCCCGAACCCTGGCCCTCATTCCTGGCTCCCCAGGAGGCGAGGTCTGTGGAAGGGGAAAGGTGGGCGGCCACCTGCCACCAAGCCCTTCCCAGGCAGGGGGGAGTATTCCTAGGATGTCCAGGGCAGCTGGAAAACCCTGCAGCTTTGCAGTTGGGACCTGCTGGCCAATAGTACATGGCTGTTCCAGGGTGTCCCCACCAAGTGCCAAGTGGGGTAACAGCTGAGAGCCACGAGCCGAGCTGGGGGGCAGCCTGGCCAAATGCTAAAAGCTGAGAGCAACAGAGAGACCAGGAATTAGTGGACTGGGGGCTGGAATAGATTCTGGAAGGCACAGAGCTTCCAACCTATTTAGGAGCCTGAGTTCTTTGTACTAGTATATGCGATTTTGCTTGTCTGAGCCCTGAAGAGGGCTGCCCCAAGTGGGGCTTTTAGGGTTTGTCTTGGGAAAACTTTGGCATGTACCACTGAGCCTTAAAAAGATTTATTTTTTAATTTTAAAAAAAGTACAAACTTATTTTACAAAATTCTATCTAGTTGTCTCAATGACATTTATTAAAAAGTCCATCTTTTTTCAATGACTTGAGATGCTATCTTCATCATAGTCTATATTTTCATATGTACTTGGGTCCACTTCTGGACTTTCTATTCTGTTCCATTGGTCCGTTTGTTCATGCTCCAATACCACACTGTTTTAATTATAGAGATTTTATGGCACGTTTAAATTCCATTAGGGCTACTTCTGTCCTTACTGCTCCACTTTTTTTCTTATTACATAAGTGATAGCTACTCATTTTAGAAGATACAAAAAAAAATCACCAATTTAAAATTATACACAATTCTACTACCCAGAGATTTCTACCACTGACATCCTCCCAATCTACTTTTTCTAAACACGCACACATTTTTCTTATAAAAATGGGATCATACTCACACTCTGCAATAATATATACCACAAACATTTTTCTATATCATTAGTCTTTTTTTATTTATTTTTCACTTTCACAGCCTGGTGATCATTAGTCTTCTGTATAATTTTTTTTTTTTTTTTTTTGAGACAAGGTCTTGCTCCGTCACCCAGGCTAGAGTGCAGTGGCCTGATCATAGCTCACTGCAGCCTCAAACTCATGGGCTCAAGTGATCCTCCTGCCTTAGCCTCCTGAGTAGGTAGGACTACAGGCATGCATCACCATGCCTGGCTAATTTTTCTATATTTAGTAGAGATGGGGTCTCGCTCTTGCTCAGGCTGGTCTTGAACTCCTGAGCTCAAGCGATCCTCCCGCCTTGGCCTCCCAAAGTGCTGGGATTATAGGTATGAGCCATCACGCCCGCCCTCTATATCATTTTAAAATTGCTCCAGAGTATTCCACAGCATAAATGTAGCATAATTTCACCAGTCCCTTATTGTTGAATATTTGGGTTGTTTCCAATGTTTCTATTCCTATAAGAGTACTGGGCTAAGCACTCCGGCATGTAGCCATGGACGTGACCTTCAAGGTTGTGTTCTTGGTGTACATTCACAGAGGCAGGATGCCCGGATGGATAAACCCTGTGGCAAATGACCTCTAGTAAAGGATTTAGCGATTAGCTCTCCCCTCGGGACCTGAGCCACAGTTACCTTTGCGGGCTGGATTTCACGGCCTGATCCCTGTGCCTAAGATCTTGCAGGCCTACTGCTTCATCCTGGAGAAGCTTCTGGAGAACGAGGAAACGCAGATCAACGGCTTCTGCATCATCGAGAACTTCAAGGGCTTCACCATGCAGCAGGCCGCCGCGCTCCGGCCCTCGGACCTCAGGAAGATGGTGGACATGCTCCAGGTGAGGCCTTGGAGCCCGTTCCCCAGAGCCCTGCGTTCTTGGTTTCATGGTGCTGGCAGGGACCTGAGAAGTCAATCACCTAGTGCCATAAAGGGCAGTGACAAAGCACAGTCCCAACCCAAGACGCCTGCGTGGTGATCAACACTGTGTCCAGTGTTCACATTCATGTTTTTCGTTGACTCCTCAGAAGCATTCTCTCCCTGCTTCATCTTGTAAACCTGCAAACCGAGGCTCAGAGATTTACATGGTTTCTCAAGGTCACGTGGCAATCAAGTGGCAGAGACCAGACTTGAATGTGTATCTTCTGACCAGGAATCCCATGCCCTCTGTCCACATAGGCCACGCTGCCTCTCTTTGAATGTGGATTTACCCTGAGAAAGAGATAGCACTAAGCTTCCTGACAACTCATTTCTATACATACTGACATGCCAGGAGTCCCTTCTTAGAGCTACCTTAGATCCGCTCTGTGTGTATCTGGGAACGGAGGGGTGGGTGGTGGGGGTCGGGAGAGGGGCTGAGGACAATGAGGCTTGATCACAGTGTCTCTATGGTCTATAAGAGTCTGCAGTACATTCAGCAGGTAAGTGGGTTTGAAAAAACTCAGTCACTAAAAAACCAAGCAAGGCTATCATTTCATTTCTTTACTTTACCTGATTCCAGTGTGTTTTGCACCAGCAGGGAGGGGGTTGGGCTGTATGACTCCTGGGGCTTCCTCCCTGCAGTTTGGAGCCACAGTGAACCCAGGGCTCCCTAGCCGCTGGCCCAGGGCTGCATCCTTTAGTGGGTTCTGCTCCGGGGAGAACAGGTGCTGCTGGCCAAGTGTGTCCTATGCCATGGGGACAGGCCATGGGGAATGAGTGGGAACCTCTGAGGACACTGGGGCCATGGGATGGGGGTCACTCTCTGTCACTGCAGGATTCCTTCCCAGCCCGGTTCAAAGCCATCCACTTCATCTACCAGCCGTGGTACTTCACCACCACCTACAACGTGGTCAAGCCCTTCTTGAAGAGCAAGCTGCTCCAGAGGGTGAGTGCACGGCCTGCCCGGGGCAGTCCTCTGGGAGTGAGTCAGTGAGCAGATGTGGGGCTGGGGCAGGAGGGAGCTCGTGGGACAAGAGGGCTGAGGGTGGGGCCCTCACCGGAGCCGTCCTCACGCTCCGTACTGTGGTCCTGAACTGTCCTCCTGTCTACCTCCTCCCTCGTCCCTAGAGCACCTCCTGCTCAGCTCCATGGGGATGACCTCTCTGACTTCTTCCAGGAGATTGACGAGAACATCCTGCCCTGTGACTTTGGGGGCACCCTGCCCAAGTATGACGGCAAAATCGTTGCTGAGCAGCTCTTTGGGCCCCAGGCCGAATCTGAGAACACAGCCTTCTGAGGACATCTCCCGCCGCCTGAGCTGTAGTTAGCACCCCCGGCCTCTCCTCCGTTGCCCTGGCCCCACGCCAGGAAGGGGCTGCCGAGGTGGTGACTGTGCTTCCCCTCAACCTCCCTAAGCTCCAATGAGCCCAGGTGTCACCCTCCTGCCAAGTTGGAGGTGCAATAAAGAAGCGGAAATTCCCTTGAACAAGAATTGGGGGCAGTTGCTAATATATTCCCGCCTGCCCTTAATGCTTTAAGATGGTGACTTTTGTGCAAGATAGAATTTTAAAGACTCTAATTAGGCTCCTCAATAATTTCCTTTGCTGGCCAGGCACAATGGCTCAGGCCTATAATCCTAGCACTCTGGGAAGCTGAGGCAGGAGGATTTGCTTGAGGTCAGGAGTTTGAGACCAGCCTGAGTGAGACCCATCTCTACTAAAAACAGAAAGAAAATTTAGCCAGGTTTGGTGGTACATGCCTGTAGTCCCAGCTACTCGGGAGGCTGAGGCAGGAGGATTGCTTGAGCCCAGGAGTCTGAGGTTGCTGTGAGCTAGACTGACGCCATGGCATTCTAGCCCAGGTGACAGAGCGAGACTGTCTCAAAACAGTTTTTTTTCTTTGCAACAGAGTTTTGCTACTTAGGGTCTATGAAAACAGGCAAGGAGCCTGGGTTAAAAGTCCCGCCTCTCCCCCAAATACAATAAATAGATGATAAAAGAGGGAAGATATAAGTTCAAATGATTCAGCAAACACAGTAATCTTGGTGGCCTGTACGCAGGCGAGCGGTTTTCCACACTGAATTCCAGGGTGGAAGCAGCCTGGAAGCAGCCTCATTTGGGGTGGCCTGTTCCCTTCGGTCACCTGCAGTCTGATGTGTGTAGAGATGGTCAGGAGCTTGGGCCTCTTTCCAAGGGGGAGGTCACATCCCCCTCCATCTGTCTTGGGGAGAAGGTCTTTCCACCACAACCTTTCTCCTCCTTGCCTGGATGGCTGGTTGTACTGAGACGTGCAGGTGACATCTTCTCTGAGCACTCTCTAGGTCCTCATGTTATACGGTTAGAGCTCTTTTTTGTCTTTACTCTCAGCCACCTTATAGTGATGAATTCCCACTTTCCAACTGTATATTTTGACAAACATAAATGCTTTCCTTCTATGCAGTTGGCTTTCTTCAAGTGCTTGCTGTAAGCTCATTTTTGCAGGTGAGAACCCCTGCTGGAAACCACTGTGTGCGGAGCATGCAGTTCCCTGTTGGGGAAGTGCTGGCTGCTTCGGGTTGGGGCTCCCAGACACTGACAGGTACTTCTCCCAAGATGCTACGTTTACGTGCCCACACGGAAGCGGACGCCTGTTACCTACCTAGCGGCGGTAGGTGAGGCTTGTCCTGCCCAGTGGCTCGTGCGCAGATACCTCAGTGAATCAACTCCAGACTTGTCTGCTCTTGCCTGGGTCACTCCCCTCCCATAGGGACCAAGTACCCTTGGTGCCATACCCACCTGTTGCAGGACCTTACAGCCATTCCTGGGACTTCAAGTTCTGCCCAATCCCATCTGTTTCCACAGAGTTCTCTTCCTTGTGTTCCAGTGAAGCTATGCCCATGTTACATGCAAATGTACATATATGCCTTTTTTAATTTTAAACATTTTAAATAATATTAATACAGTTACTACTTTTTTTTTTCATCCACGTGATTAAGGTATCCTTAGACATACATGCCTTTATTTCACTCCTAGGGTTTGCAGTGTGTGCTCATTACCCAAGTAGCTTCCTTCTTTATAACATTCGCAGCCAACGATCCATGGTCATTTATGATATTTACACAGGACCTCTGAGCTGGAGGAGGAATCGTAGCAAATAATTGTGGGCGGAAGGGTGGGAGGTTAACCGGGGAGGATTTCCCTCCACAAGTTGAGGCTTCCTTTTTTCAAACCAAATCTCATGTGGAACCTTGGTATTGAAACCTAACAAGGATGGAGCTGCTGTGGTGGCAGGGGCCTCAACCTGGGGGATCTCCTGGGAACATGCTTGAAGGTGCGGGCCACTGTGTCCCATGGTGCTGTGGGGCCACGTGACGAAAGAAGGGAGACTAGCGTTTGCCTGTGGAGGGCGCTGGTGGCCTGAATGGGGGGGGCAGGGATGAGGCCGAGTGAAAGAATTCAAAGGAATTCGTACTTTTCACGTTTTCAGGATGTCCTTCTACGCGTTTGTCCAGAGTTGTGCCCCAGATTTGAGGGAAACAGTGGCTGACCCCTGCCGGTTGACTCCCGTCTTCCCCCCGCACCCTGCCCGGTGCCCTCCTGGACGCGGCCCGGCCCACCCTCTGAGGTGGCAGCTCTAAGTTTATGAGTGAGATCAGGATGGGGAGAGAACTGCAGGCTTATGCTGGGGTGCTGGGGTGCCCACGAAAGTCGAAAGTTGGCAGTGGCTTTCTGAGCAAGAAACCACAGGGCTGGGACCCAGGGAGCCGGCTCTGACTGTGGGCTCGCACTGCCCCCTGCTGGCCTTGCCCTGGCACTGCTGGGCAGGAAGGAGAGCTGGGTGGGCTGGGTGGTGCCCTAGAGGGTGTCTTAAGACCATGAATATTAAATCTGATGTGCTCAGCCTCACAAAATCCCAGATGCCTATGTGGGTGATCCCTACAGGTGGCCACCCCCCAACATTAATGAGATAGAGGAAGAGGGACGGTAAAATACTCATTTGAAAGCCACCAGCTATGGAAAGAGTGACAACAAAACATGAATTTTATGACAACCATTTGATGCCCATGACAGCTTCCTTTCTGGAGACACGTGGGATGAGACAGGGATTCTGCCACATAAAAGTAATTTGACGCCGGGCGTGGTGGCTCACGCCTGTAATCCTAGCACTCTGGGAGGCCGAGGTGGGCGGATTGCTCGAGGTCAGGAGTTTGAAACCAGCCTGAGCAAGAGCGCGACCCCGTCTCTACTATAAATAGAAAGAAATTAATTGGTCAACTAATATATATAGAAAAAAAATTAGCCGGGCATGGTGGCGCATGCCTGTAGTCCCAGCTACTCGGGAGGCTGAGGCAGCAGGATCGCTTGAGCCCAGGAGATTGTGGTTGCTGTGAGCTAGGCTGATGCCACAGTACTCACTCTAGCCTGGGCAACAAAGCGAGACTCTGTCTCAAAAAAACAAAAAAAACCCCCAAAAAATGGTAATTTGAGCATAATGAGAGTAGGAAGGTTGCAGCGATGCTTTCCTGCCATCCTAATGTGGGCTTTCAGACTCCGGAAGCAATTCATCAAGGTGTGGGTGGAGGTCTCCACAAGGAATTGGCCACCAGCTTCAGAGAGCCTCTAAACAAGATGGGCCACTGCTCAGAGCCTCGAGTTTACCCAAGGGAAACTGGAAGAGGATGATGCTGTCTGGAGGCCTGGCAAAGGCTTCTGGAAGAGGTGTGCCTTTGTCTTAAGCCAGGAAAAGAGGTGAAGAGTCACCTAAGGGGTGAAGTGGGCCATCACTGATCCTACTGTCTGTTGGGCGGTGGTGATGCATGGCTCAGTGTTGGGTCTAGAAGCTTGCAGGATGCCCTGGAGGTCTGAGGAGGGCAGTGTCTGTTCCACTTGGGAACTCACTAGCAATGCACACACCTAGGCCCCATCACAGAAGTGCTGAATCAGAATCTGCATTTTTAACAAGACACTCCACCTCCTCCCCCCCTAAAAGGGATGGCACATTAAAGAGCCAATCAAAGCTTCCAAAGCAGTGGTTTGCAAGCTCCCTGCAGGCTGGAATCCCCCGGGGAGCTTTAAAACTGCAGCCCAGGCCCCACCTCCCCATGCACTTGGTCTGGGGTACGGCCTGGGCATCAAGATCTTTCCAAGTTGCCCAGGTAGTTCAAATGTGTACTGCTCAAGCCCTGCATGTTGACATATGAGGAAGGTGAGGGTATGGAGGAACCCACTGAGGCAAGTGTTAAGATCTATCAGTTTAAAGGTAAACTTTGCACTTGAGCAGAGAGGACAGAGAAGATGGCTGCAGGAGCCTGTGGGGAAGGCTAAATGTCTCAGAATAAGAGCAAGTTCCACCCTGGGGCTGTGCCTGGAATTGTCCTACCAGCAAGCAGGACAGGGTAGGTAGGACATGATTTCTCAAGGTACCATGTGAAGAAGGAAAAGATTAGGATCAGGTTTTGATGATGCACACACATGGCTTGTCAAGCCCAAAAGTGTTTGGAAATTATATCCAAGCCTATCTCTGCTTTCTGTGCAGGCCCATCGGCCAGAAGCCCTGGAGTGGAGCTGCACCAGGCAGACACTTCTCGTTTCCACACATCCTGGGAGGTCATTTGTGAGATGGAACCAAACAGACAAAGCTAAAGCCACTACCCAAAATAACATCAGCACTTTGAAAAATACTATTTGAGCCTCTCCATATCCTGAGGTAGGCATTCCTATAGTTATTCCCATCTTACAGGTAAAAATAAAGAAATAAATAATGTTAGCACTGTTGGGGCAGTGAGTGAGTGTCCCTGAAGACAAATGCTATAGAGTCGCCTAAGGGGAGGTGCAGCTGTGCTGGGGTCCTAAATGACCACGCTGGCATGCTGTCAGCACCAGCCTACCGAGCACCTTGCACCTAAAATCTCTTCCATGTAGTTCTTTTCATTGGTAGTATTCTTTGCAAGTTGGTTTTCTTGGATCAAAATAGTCTGGCTATTTTGTGGGGGGTAGAAGGAGGGGGAAGCTTGCCTACCAGAGAGAGATGAATTTTGATGTTGGGGCATTCTTAGGTCTTGTTCATGCACACCTTCCAAAGCTGACACTTCCCACTCTGCCTAGCTTGGCAAGGGTTCCATGTGGCCAAGGAGGGAGGGCAGTTGTGTGTGTGAGGCTCTCAGGGGTAGAACAACCCTCCGCGCTGAGCTTGCGGTTGGCCCTGGGAGACCCTTAGCGTGGGTTCAGACAGAGCCAAGGAGTAAAACATGTCTCTCAACCAACCCAATATGATCTTGACGTAGGAAATGTTCACCTGGTCTTTTCAAAGAACATCACTGGCAAAGCACACAAATCATGCGTGGCAGGCACCATTTACATCTCTCTTGCCTTTATGAAGTGACTACAATGTGGATATCCTACTTATTTTAGTTCTTGGCTTTCTTGCCTGGAGAATATGGGCTCGTAAAGACACCTGCGGGCTGGTCATGTCTTTGGTATTTGTTTGCAAGAGTGAACATCAATTTTTTTTTGAGGGGGGGACAGGGTCTTGCTCTGTCTCACCCAGGCTGGAGTGCAGCGGCATGATCATACCTTACTACAGCCTCCAACTCCTGGGCTCAAGTGATCCTCCCACCTCAGCCTCCCAAGTAGGTGGGACTACAGGTGCACACCACCACACCTGGCTCTTTTTCCTATTATTTTGTAGAGATGGAGTCTCACTATGTTGCCCAGGCTGGTCTCAGACTCCTGAACTCAAGTGACCCTCCTGCTTTTGCCTCCCAAAGTGCTGGGATTACCACAGCGCCTGGTGGTGAACATCAATTTTGATGAGAAGTTGGTGTTTCGTGCATTTCCATTAAGCTCATGCTGTGGTGAAGATGCAGGAAGAATCCCTTTAGATGGAAAATCCCCACTATACAGAGGACACACAGCCACGCCACAGTTTTAGACTTTATTTTTTTAAGTAAAGAAATTCCATTGACTCAAAGATAACAAAATTATAGTTTTTGTTTGTAATGATCTTTGTTCACCACCACACAGAATCCTAATAGAATCAAAAGTAATATGAGAACATAAAATGATCAAGGACACCATTGTTTAGTATAATTTCTTAATAAAGGTAAATATCCTCATATTTAGAAAAAATTGCATTGCTAGTTGCAAATCTTAAACACCTCAGTGCTGAAGGATCCTGTGTCCCCTCCCCCCCCCAAAGATCCGGCAGCACGGAGGCTTTCAGAACACAAACTCAAAAATACAGTGTTTTCAGGGCAGCATTTTAAGTTTCAGAAAACCCAAATGAAACAAAACAAAACAAATCAGAATTAGGAATGTGAAAGTGATGGTTCTCAAAAATCAATCTGGAAGCAGATCTGCCAACTTAAGAATGTGGTTGAACAGAGTCTAACCAGGAAAAGGAGAGATGCAAACTTGCCCCCCCTTCCCCTCCCCTGGCGTCACTAAGGCAGCTGCAGTGGCAGAAGTCAGAAGCTCAGGTACAGTGAAGGTCTTCCTGAGGCAGTGGGCGAGACCCAGATCATCTGGAACTGGTGTGGAGAGGTGGCAGGATTCTACATGGACTTGTGCTTTAGGAAAACTAAAGAGGCCAAAATAAAAACCAAACAAGACCTAACCTATACACCCAGAAACTCTCTCCACCCACACGAACACCCTAGGAGAGAAGTGGCCGGCACTGGGACCAAGGGAGTCAGCAATTCATCTAGGTGACTGCTGGCTGCTCCAGGCGGGTGATCTGGAAGGAGAATGCCCTTAGAGACAAATGGTGTTTCTACAGATGCTAGAAGTGGACTGTCCCCAACTTATGGCAATAGTGGATTTCTTGGCTAATGGGGACCAGAAGCGGAAGGTAGGTTATAGATTTCATTACTAATTGACAGGAGTCTAGTTAAAAGTTGAGTACTTGATGGAACTCAGAATGTTAGACTTGATCCACCAGTTAGAAATTAACTTTAGCTTATTTATCAGACACATGAAAGCTTTACCCACATGCTAGGAAAACAGTTCAGAAAACAATGAGGACTGACTCTTCCAAAGGGGGCAGCTGTCTACTTTCTGGGACCCTGCGGCCTGTTTCCAAGGGCCACGACAGGAGGATGCCTGGGCTTGGGCCCTGGAGGCAGCAGCTCCAGGCAAGAAGAAGCAGCCTTTGCCTTGGCCGGCATTCCAGCTCTCTCTGCCAGCAGGCGCCAGCTCCCCTTCCCTTAGCTTCACAGACAATTTGGCAAAAGCGAGCCTAGTTTATGAAGAGGGGCACTTCCCTCTGCTTAGATAACAGGTGGAAGCAAATCTTTCCCTCTATTGCTTGGCCTCTAAATGCCACAGGCAGGCTACTTTTCATGGCTTTCTAAAGCATCCAAGCAGTCCAAAGTGGCTTTGAACAACAGAGTAAGGCCAAGAAGGACAGACAGGTGCCAGGGACGAGGCACGACAAGGAGCCTACAGGCCACTTGAGGAAATGCTCTGGTTTTGCTGTGGCTTTGCACAGCAAGAGAATTTGAATTTTAATGCCACAATATTGTTGTAATACCAGAGGATTTTCTAGAGGCAAGTTAAGGCTTTCTGGGCAAAGAAAACAATTCCAGATGATATTGTGACAGAATGCTACAGTGAAATGCTTCTTAATAACCCTCCTATCCTGCCTAAAGGACAAAGACCTGTGAGTTCCTTCAGCCCAACGTGACATTTCAGTCGTCAGTCCTTTACCTTCTCTCCAAGTCAGAATCAATGCCACAGGAAAAGCAAAGCCTCTCGCATCTCGGACATCTGCTTGCTTGGCAAACGCAAACGAGGACACATGTATTGTTTCTGGAGCTGGCAAAGCAGACCTCGAGCCACACAGTTACAAAGAGAGCTTTCATTTGGAGGCCAGGCAAGTAAGCTCAGCTACCCAGAAAGTTCAGCTTTCATGAAGACCGCAGCTCTCGAACGAAAGCCCGAGCAGGAAGGGTTTCTGCCCCGGGAGTTCTCAACGGTCTGGCTGAGTCGCACTGAGGGATGGAGAGCTTCTCCACGTGCTAGTGGGCAGCACCTGCCACGGCCACAAGACCACGGAAGGGCTCAGACATTGTAAGGACAATGGAGACTCTGCAGGGAAGCCAAAGACGTAGGGCTTTGGACAAGATCAAAGGTTTCCACTAGGAAAGGCTTAATGTGGAAGCTCCCCTGCTCCAAGTCACCGCAAGATGAGCCTTGAGCCGTGACATAGGTGTTTCCACCTGCAAGGCTGTGAAAGCCAAGTGCAGGCAAACACTCAGCAATGTTTAAGCAAGGGATGTGTAAATAAATGAAGTTGTCTTGGAGATGGTCTAAGATGAGGGAACAGGCTCACAGAGATGAAGTGACTTGCCCATGATCCAATGTGAATTAGAGACAGTTAGGACAAGAACCCAGGTATCCTGGACTTTGGTTCTAATAACAGCACGTCAAAAAAAGAAACACTCCCCTTTTGGGTATATTTCCACTCTCCTGGCAGCTCATAAGGCTCCCTGTAAGTCTATAAAATGCTTCAGAGAGGTTAAAAGAAGATGGTAACAACAAACTACTTTCTGCCTTTGTTCTGCTCTGGAATCACTGGTGCAAACTCACGGCAGTAAAGATAAGAGGTTTTCTTCAAGATGTTAAACTCCCTTCTAACATAAATGAGTCAGAGACTTGACACCGTTTTTTAAGTGAGATAATCCTAATTTGACTGGGATCAGTTACTCATCAGTGTCTTCAAATTGCCTAGGAGGCAGGGAATGCAACAGGAGAAATGCAGCTGCCGCCCCCGCCTGGTTTTTAACATGTTATTCCTGCAACAGAATTGTTTACATCGATGCAATTTATATCCTTAATTTGATTTTAAAATATTCAAACACTCTAAAAATTGAGACTTGTTTTAGCCCAAATAAGACCTTAATAGCAAGAAGAGCATTCACATTACTATCAGAAGTGAACAACTCTGGGAAGAAAGACAAGCCTGGAGGAGGGAAAAGATGACCCATATAGAAAATGCTGCTCCCTGGTTTATTAGGCGAGTTTGCATCTCTGCGAAGGCAGCCCCTCTGTGCTTGCATTCAGGGACAGGCGGGAGTTTTCCTGGAAGGCAGCCACAGTCCCTTCTCATTTCAATGCCTGAGGGCCCAGAGCTCCAACAAAGGGCTTCAGTTGATTTCATGTGAGCCAAAATGGAATGCAAGTGCCATTCAGAGTCACACACTAAACAGATCTCAGCTGGGACAGCCCCCCCTCCCCCCCGCCCCCGTCCTGGGGGGTGAATTCCGGTTGTGTGGCAACCAGGGCTATGCTGCCAGCCATGCCTCTCTTCTGCGGGGGCCACCAGGGCCGCCTTGCCCACCAGGCTCTGAGGCTTCCCTCTCTGGTTCGTGTGACAACAGGACTGTCTCTCTTCCTCCTGAATGGAACGCAGGCTGGCCACTACTTTGTCAGAATAGGTGAAGAGATGCGACCTCAGGCAAATGAAAGGAGGCTCTTGTTCCTGGCATGAGATTCAATCCCAGGACTGAGATAAGCTATTGCTTGATTTACCTATTTTCACAAATAAAGTTTTGAGAAACTTTAAGTTTCCTTCATTGAGGAAGGAATTCCTTCCTCATCCTTCATTGAGAAATGAAGGTAGTAGCATAAAATACGATTATGAATCTTCTAGATTATAATTGTGGTTGGGTGGAGGGAAAAGTAACAGAGGAGAGTGACTAGCTTCCAAATTGAGGGATGGATAAAGTGCCGAATTGTGCAAAAAGAAAGTGAAAAGGAAATGCATTAGAGAAATAAGAACTTTGGGGAACAGTCGTAATGACAGAACTTGGTGAGTGTGAGAAATACCAAAGCAGAGTTGAGAGCACAGAAATCTCAGTCTCCTGAGATAATGGCTGTTTTTGATGTTCATAGGGTGATCTGTTGATTGTCAGAAAATTTCTTCAGGTTACAGACTACTGTCACAGTCACTTGGACCAATACCCAACCGACACCCCCCTGTGGCCTCGAGGGTTGGCATGTGGGTGCTCAGTTGACACCTTTAACCCCTTAAATACCCACACAGACCCACTATCTATATTCCAGTCTGTCCTGGAGCCAGAGGAAATGAAGAAGGGAAAATATCTTTTTAAAAGTATCCAGGCAATTTCACTCATAGTTCTGTTTAGTTCCAGATAGCAACTGCAGATTTTTCAAAGTGCAGGGTTTTTAGATATTCAAGTACCACAGGATTGGAGGGAAGGAGTACTTGAAACCTAGAGTGAGAAGACACACTCTGGAAAGGTTTATCCAATAGACTACAAATATATAGGCTAGTAAATTAAAAATCTGCTTTCAAAATAACACCCTTCAGTTGGAAATATCTTTCTCCAAACTGAGATCCAACGTTTGAATTGTTTGGTATCAAAAGCCAGAGAGTTAGAGGGCCCTGGGCTAAAAAACTAAAATTATAATTGAGTGCTTAAAAAACCTCCCAACACCTCTTTATCTGAATGAAAAGGGACAGAACAGAAAGGCAAGTGAGGATGCTATCTACATGCTTACACTGGGAGAACAGCTCCCAGGCTCCGCTGGAGGAATGTTCTCTCAAACCTCAGTGAACTGAGTTTGTCATTGAACTTCAGAACTGGTAGTGATCTCACCAACGTACCTGGTCCAAGTCCCCCTTTTTATAGGCAAATAAACTGAAGTCCAAGGGGACTTTGTCCAGGGTGAGAAGCAGAGCCGGGGCACAGCCCAGACGCCCTCTCCCACCAGGGCTCTTCTGAGACATCACACTGTGGGCGCACGAGAGCAGCCACAGGGCAGGGCTTGCTGCTCTCGAGGCCTGTGAGCTTAAAAAAAATGAACTACAGAGATGTTTCTAATTTAAAGGCGTTGTTGAATAGTGTTTCCCAAATTTACCTGGTGATGAGAATCCCCTGGGGCACTTGTGAAAAACTGAAACCCCCAGACCCCTTCCCAGACCGCTGAGCCAACCTTGCCAAGGGGAGGAGCTGGGAGGCTGGGTTTCTGCAGGTGCCCCATCAGCGGCAAAGCGCGGGCCTGACTAGGAGACAGTGAGGGAGCAGACTTGGCTTGTGGCTTGAAGGAATTGCCTTTGCCATTTAGGAGGCCACACTGCAGCCTGGGAGGTCCAGCTCCTCAGGCTCCCACGCTGAAAGGGCTTCAGCATCGGCCCAGACGGTGCGCTCTTTCCAGGGTCTATGTAAGGACACGTACGAGCACCACAAAATGACATACATCCTTACTACTCTCAGGGAAAAGCCTTTTGGTTGGCAGGGCAAAATTGCTGTTCAGACACATTTTTTAACAGGGAAACTAGATGTAATTGGCTTCAAAGCAATCAGATGCTGAAACTGGACAGGAGGGTGAGAGAGCTCTGTCGCTTGTCGCCATGGCTAACGACGCAATGGAGAAAACCAGTAACTAAGCACAAAAATAGCCTGGAGCTCCCAGGAGAGCTGCCTACTCCGAGACAGGTGTGCATGGCGGGGCCCCCGCTGATGGTGTGAGGTCAGATCCAGGTCACTGAGGGAGACGGGAGACCTGAAACGGGGGGTGAGGGGACGTGGGTTCCAGAGGAGGGCTGCTGGAGCCAGAGTCCGGAGGCCTCACTCCAGGTCGGCCTCCACCTGCTCCGTGTCAGAGCACTGCAGCTTGTTACGCTCCCACTGGCAGATGGCGTTGGCGTACTCCACCACCAGCTTATCCATCCACGTCAGGGGCTCGGGGAACAGCACGGAGCCCTCAAAGAAGCCCAGGTGCCCCCCGTGCAGAGGCAGCACAAACATGACGTTCTCCCGTTTCTCTGCAGGGAAAAGGCAGCTCAGTGAGTTACTATGCTCCAGTTAGCTCCAGGGCGGGAGGGCGGCAGTGAGCTGGCCAGGGTGGCCTGGGCTTGCCCCACAGGGAAAAGGTCACCTAAGTGGACATCTAACCTCTACTCACGCTGCTTTGTTCACCAAAGCGGGACAGACCTTCAGTGGGGCAGGCAAGACAGGGGGATCTAGCAGGCTGTGGAAAGGCAGCTTAGCTTTGGAGCAGAATGGGCACCAGCTTAAGAAATCCCTAGGATTGTGTTCTGAAACTTGGCTGCACATTAGAACCAGGTGGGGAGTTTTTAAAGCTCCCTAAACCTAGGCTGCACCCAGACACATTAAATCAGAACCTCTGGGGGAAGGGGGGAGGAGCGCTGCAGTACCCAGGCATTGGTACTGCTAGGGCTCTCCGGGTGACTCACTGTGCTCCCCAACTTTGTGCATCAGAAGCACCTGGGACATCGAGTTAAAATGCAGATTCTGATTTAATAAGCTGGAAGGGGGATCTGGCTTCTGCATTTCTTAAAAGCTCCTAGGTGATGCTGATGCTAGTGGAGGTGGCCAGGCTCTGAGTAGAGATTTATAGCACTAACAGTGCTGTTTACTAGGAAGAAGGAGGCTTCAATGGAGTTAAGGATTTTTCATTACAGACAAGATTAATCTTCAAGATTAAGACTGAACTTAAAGCATTGTTAAACAATGCCCAAGGTCTCCATGCCACATGGGAAATGACCAACCTGAAAATTAAAAACCTGGGGCTTGATTTTATGACTCTCTTTCTAAGTTAGTCCCACATGGGCTAGTGAAGGCCAGTACTGAAGATGTGTGTAAAATGGGCAGCCAGGCACAAGAGGAAACATCTGTCTTCCCAGAGGAATAAGTGACAGGAGCCTTTTGCTGGATCTCCAGCACTCTTTTCTTGCCTGACCCCCTTTATTGTTCCTTTTTAGTTGCTATTTGATAATTTTTTTTTTTTTTTTTTTTGAGACAGAGTCTTGCTCTGTCACTCAGGCTAGACTGCTGTGGCATCAGCCTAGTTCACTGCAACCTCAAACTCCTGGGCTCAAGCGATCCTCCTGCCTCAGCCTCCTGAGTAGCTGGGCCTACAGGCTTGTGCCACCATGCCAGGATAGTTTTTTCTATTTGTAGTAGGGACAGGGGTCTTGCTCTTGCTCAGGCTGGTCTTAAACTCATGACCTCATGCAATCTTCCTGCCTCAGCCTCCCAGAGAGCTAGGATTACAGGGGTGTGCCACTGTGCCCAGCCTGCTATGATAAATTTCCATGCGACAGCATTAGCGCTAGGAATATGCTGATAGAGGCAGAGAGGGAAACGAGTGCTGCTGCTTTCTCCTGGCTGAGCGGCTACTGTTGCGCAGGGAGACTGAGGCTGGATGGGGGCTCCGCGGGGGACGGCTCTGATCACACGCAGACTTCATCCTGAGCGGTGTAACAGAGCTCTGGCTGGGCACGGTCCTTTGTCCGCTACACTATCTACTGTTCTAGCTTGTGGGTCATGGGAACCCGAGGTATGCCTCCTCCTTCTGCTTAACACATGATGTCTGCATGAGGACTGGGGAAGGCCGGAGACTATGTCCCTGGGATCTGAAATTCCAGTATAGGCCGGGCGCAGTGGCTCACGCCTGTAATCCTAGCACTCTGGGAGGCCAAGGCGGGTGGATTGCTTGAGGTCTGGAGTTAGAAACCAGCCTGAGCAAGAGTGAGACCCCGTCTCTACTATAAATAGAAAAGAAATTAATTGGCCAACTAATATATATAGAAAAAATTAGCCGAGCATGGTGGTGCATGCCTGTAGTCCCAGCTACTCGGGAGGCTGAGGCAGGAGGATTGCTTGAGCCCAGGAGTTTGAGGTTGCTGTGAGCTAGGCTGACACCACGGCACTCACCTTCTAGCCTCTAGTGAGACTCTGTCTCAAAAAAAAAAAAAAAAAAAAAAAAAAAAAATTCCAGTACAAAATAAGTTAGGGAATTCCCCAGTGTTTCCTCCCGCTGTCCTCTCTCTGGCTTCTCCGTTAGCTCCCAGCTGGCATGGAATGCGGCCACGCTGGCTGAAGCAGAGCAGCATCCTAGGAGCACTGTCTTTGCCACTTCAGTCGCTTTAATTTTTCTCCTCAAAGCAGATCGAGAGGCTGTCACACAAGGTAGCAGAACTGGCTTCCTTGTTTTGCTTTTTAGGTCCAAGTTGAAGTCTAAATAGCTCTTTAAGTCAAACTCTTAAACTTAATGAAACCAAAACCATGAGATAATTTCACAGAATACCAGGCGACTTCCCCAAAGCCCTCCTGGCTATGGATCTATACATGATGGTCCTGTCTCCCGCACCACGAGGGAACACACGGCTCTGCCCAGGCCCCTCACAGCTGCAGGACCATCAGGCTAGGTGCAACACAAACACTGCCATGAGATGTCCTTCCCCAAAGAGGCTAGTCCCCCGGAGATGACAGCATGGTGACAGTGACAGAATTTACTGTGGCAATTTGCTAAGTGGTTGAGGGAGCAGTAGGAAGAAACACTTACCTGAAAGAGATTTGGGAATAGTTAGAAGGCTTTCGTGCACCAAGGGGTCATCAGCTGCGTTAACCAGCATGAGAGGCACATAAATCTGCAACAAAAAAATAAAGCAGAACTAAATTATCCGTTCCCATTTCCAGACCCCATTATTCAAGGCTCAAATTCACTATTGGGCGGGCATGTCTTTGAAGCAGAGGGGAGCGAACACAGCTCAGCTTGCTGAACTGTGGAGGGAGGGTGCCTGGCAGTCACCGGCAGCGAGATGGGTTACACCCATCGGTGATCGCCCCAGCAGCAGGTGCGTGCCGGAGCAAGGCTTCCTGGTGATCATCACGGTGTTTCAGATTAGCCATGCCTTCCAGAAAAAAGGCTTTACAAAGAGTTACACACATATTCATTCAGTTTATATTGCGAGGAGGAAAAATGAAGTGGATTTCCTGCCAGACAAAAGAGATTTTCTAGCAGAATCTAAAGGCTGGTGGATTTTGGGGAAAGTCTTGGCAGGGCTGCGTTTAACACGCACCCCAGCAACAGCCAGCAGTCTCCTTTTCCACGCGAGTGGGGCAGTGCTGAACAGCCATATTGGGGGAGTGAATGGTTATGCTATCCTGGAGGTCTCTGGCGTTGGCGCCGGGCAGCTCAACGTTTGTATACTGGCTTAAATGAACACACCAAAAGCCCGGGTGACGATGCTAAACTAGGAGGCACGGCCAGGGTGACAGCAGAGCTGCAATTATCTGCTTTGGCTGGGGGAATGGTGGGCCGAACCCACAGGTGGACGTTGACAGGGAAAAATGGGTAAAATGAAACGCGCCCAGACAGAACAAGAGACTGGCTTGCTGGTGGTTCGGGTAAAAAAATATATGGGGATTTTGGTGAGCCACAAACTTAATATGCACATAGTTTATTGCGGCTGCTAAAAACTGCATTAATACAAACCAGTCTACCTTATCAACAGACACGTTCCTTACCACTTCCATACAGAAACACATCTATTTCACTCTGTGCTTACCAGATCACAGCAGGAACCTTTGAGTTCAGTTTTGTCAGGGTAGTAATACACTAACAAAATACACACTGGTGAATAAAGGGTCCGGGCAAGCCAAAAAAGGGGCAAGAAGTCTAGATGGATCTCCTACGAAGAACCATGGCAGAAACCAGGCAGGATTATACTGTCAAAGGAAGACTAAGAAAAAAATTGGGTGTTGGAGCAATTTTAATGGCTTTCATACAGATATGGGAGTGGACTGGTTTAAGGCATGGCTGTGGGATTAATGTATGGTGGTCACAGAGGGACAGCGTTTGGCTCAAAAATAAATCCGAGTTAAAGCCTAGAACAGTTTGAGCCAGCTTCTGGCTGAGCTTCCACCAGGGAAATTCAGGAGGGATATTTGCTGTGCTGTGTGCGAGGCTGGAGGGAGTGACGCTCAATCTGAGCTAGCGCTGGCCACTCACCCTGTGCAGGTACCGCATGCAGCTTTCTTCCTCGTAATATTCCTTCAGGGAGTTATAGCCGTGAAACTTCCTGGAACATACCAAAAAAAAAAGGGGAAAGGACAAAACAACATTGTCATCAGATCAGAATGCTGAGCTGATCACTGCTCCAGTTCTCCGTCCTAACTTGTTGCATTGGTAGAAAAACGCAGGCAGCAGTCGGGCCTGAACGCTGCGCTGATTTTATGACTGCTCCACTTCCTACGCTGACTTGTCACATGAGGACACATCAGTGGAATATACACAGGCAGGGGAGCAGGGGGTTAAGAGCACAGGCTTTGGCACCTGGATTCAAATCTTAGCTTGACCATATACTGGCTGTGTGACTTTTGGCAAATGGTTTGACTTTTCTGCACCTCAGCTTCTCGTGTGCAAAACAGATCTAAAGACAGGAACTTCCTCAATGGCGCTGAGATTCAGGACCTCAGAGTGCTTGCTAGCGTGGCGACTGACCCAGAGTGACTGTCCTGTGGAAACTTATCTGTAGCAATTAGTCTTCTGAGGCAGCAGAAAACAAGAGGCCGCTAGAGACACAGAGAAACTGAAAGTTCAAAGGCATTTACTAGAACTTTCTTTTTAACAGAGTTCTTCCTGGTGGAGTAGCAGGACCATTGTGAACTGGAATGAAATACGTATTAGGTAATAGAAATGAGACGGGTTCAGAGTCGGCAATTCTGTCCACCCAAGGAGAGGGACCAGAGAAACTGGCACATAATAACACCGCGTGCTCCGGCACGCAAGCCCCGCGGCTCTGCTCTGTGCCCCGGGAGGCCTGGCGAGGCTCGGCCTGGAGTTCTGATAGCAGGAGGCCCGAGTCCATCCAGGCCAGAAGGGCTCTGGAAACCTCCTTTCTTTCCGACACGGATGAGGGCCTCTGGTTTCTGAACAGTGGATCTTCTCATTCTAACTGGGGTCTCTGAGGGATCCTGCCTCCCTCGGAGCTGTGGGTCTCTTCTGCCACCAGCCTCCTTGGCCATCTCTGCCTGGGAAGGGCCTGGAAAGCCCCGGTGGGACTACTGGGGTCCTCCTGATTACGGAGGAGGCCAAGTGCAGGGATCACCTCTGGGGTGTCTGTCCTTGTGAAATCCGTCCGTTTGCGGGCTCAGCAGGCAGGGAGAGCATTCCGTTCCTCTGATAATGGCCTAACGACAAGGCTGCCAAAACTGGTTGTGATCATGAAACTGCCACCATATCCAACACTACTAGCTGGGCACGGTGGCTCACGCCTGTAATCCTAGCACTCTGGGAGGCTGAGGCGGGCGGATTGCTCGAGGTTAGGAGTTCGAAACCAGCCTGAGCAAGAGCAAGACCCTGTCTCTACTATAAATAGAAAGAAATTAATTGGCCAACTAATATATATAGAAAATTAGCCGGGCATGGTGGCGCATGCCTGTAGTCCCAGCTACTTGGGAGGCTGAGGCAGAAGGATTGCTTGAGGCCAGGAGTTTGAGGTTGCTGTGAGCTAGGCTGACGCCACGACACTCACTCTAGCCTGGTCAACAAGCGAAAAAAAAAATTGCAACACTACTAAAGAGGAGGAACTTTAGGGACAGTTGAGGAACATTCTCTTTCAGGCTTAAAAGAACGTAGAAGATGAGTGGGAAATTTAAATTGGTTTTCTCATTAGTCACCACAGTAAAGTCACACACCCCATCTTCAGGGTGGGTGGGCAAGATTTATTCTCATCTTCTGAACATGGCAATCTCCTAGTTTCTGTTTCCTCTGAGTAACCGTTAACAGGCACATTTCAAGGTTACTTGGTATAAGAAGGCTGCTAAAATCTCATAAGGAAGAAAAGGAGAGATCTCATACCTTAGGTCAATTATCGGCCTCTCTATTTAGATGCACACTTGTTTGCTTTAAAGCATATCTAAAGGTATCAAATGATTGTTAAATAAAAAGCGTGACATATTTAAAAAGAATGATGAGGTCAGGGATTAATTTTACCTTTTCCAGCAAAGACTAACCTCCAGCAGAAACTACTGGTACCAGCAAAGAGGACACGTCAGGGCTGCGACCTCAGGGCCTGGGGGGGCCAGGCAGGTGGAGAGCGAATGAGTGCAGTGCGCAGGGCTGTGTCTTACACTGGGGGCTTCAGGCCCCGGGGAACGAGGCTGTGTTTACTTTCCTTGAAACCCACAGCCTGCCTGGTCTATCTCTTGTTTTTCTACTTTGATAGAGACTTAGATGGGAACAGGAAACACTTCCTTTGCCTTTTATTCCACTGCAGATGCAGATTTATTTGGCAACTGAGGCTCGCCCTGGTGTAGAGGCAGGACAGGCAGGTGACGACTGCCCGTGACTAGGCCGTGCACAGCACGGCTTCTCAGCTCCAGCTGGCTATGCTACACAGGAAAGCAGAGTGAGTGGTCAGATCCGCTTCCTGTTTTCCAAGAGAAATTAAAAATTTGCATTTTTCTGTGAAATCTGTTTTTAAGCACGGGACACTTATTAAAAAAAAACAACTCTTAATACTACAGTGAGCAGAACAAAGCACTTGTACTGGGCAGAGCTGGCCTGTGGCGCGTTCCCGTCCCGCCTGCACAGACACACCTCATCACGTTGTCGTCAATCTGCATCAGGGATGTTGCTGTGTAGAGCCGGCTCAAGTCCGTGTCCTCCAGGGACTGGGGTTTCTTAACATGGTCTCCAAAAAGAGCTTGCCTAGAATGAAACACAAAAGCAAACAGAGGCGCATAAGCAGAGGATGGACAACCACAGCAGAGCCTGCTGCCTTGCCCAGGGCTGGGCGGGGCCGAAGCCCATGTGGCAGGTAAGAAACAGGTCCCTTTTGCCTGCAGAACGTCCCGCGGGATGCACCTGCACTGCTGACTTCTGAATAGCAGCAGAAGAGATGAATGTCAAGACCTTATTTTCCTTTCCAGGGGCACTGAGTCAAACCAAAGGTGGGGTATGAGCCTTGCTGAATACCTCAGAGGCTTCCCTGCAGGGGAGGAGGTCTCCAGATGGGCCCTGCGGTGAGTAGCAGGCTGTGGCCCCGCTGTGGGCGCCTTGACTTTACACGGGTGTTGACATTGCCCCGCGGCAGAGCCCCTTTCCCTCCGTGAGCCATTTGTGTCGCTTAACAAGGAAGACAATGGTTAACCCATTTAGCATTTGGGCAGATCAACAGCTCTCCAGTGCATTAGAGCAAAGCTAACTCTGTTCGGGAGAGTAATCATTTCTGTGAAGCAGCAGCTCCACGTTGAGGGGAAGACAACAAAGGCAGGGCCACATGTGCCTGCAGACCTGCCGCCCGGCAAGGGCCGTCCATCGTGCAGCGGCCGCGGGACTGCGTTTGCGCCGGCGTCGGCCCTATAGCAGGAAGAGCCATCACGGAAACTCGGTATTCACAGCCTCTCCAAAAGAAGGGGACACGTTTCTTTTTTTTTCAAAAGAATATCAGGAAGATTACATACCTACTGGATAGAACTCACAAATTTAAAGTTTTCCTAAAATTTCTAAATGTTAGGCTTCCTCAGTAAATTCCAAAAATGTAAATACACTTAGAATACCCTCAAAGGACTCTCCCAATTTGTTAAGAATTACACGATGAGCCCTGTAGACTAGTTAGTAGCAAGGCCGGGCCCTTTAGGAGAACAAACGTTCGTGGGAGGAGTCTCCTTTGAATTCAGAGGTGCAGGAAGGCGAGCGGAGGACGTGGACTTGGCTTCACCCCTCCTGGCCACAGAACCTCAGCAAGTCCCCGGACCCATCCGAACCTCGGCTGAGCCACGCCCAGCTCAGTGGCTGATGCTTACAGAACATGAGCCGAGCGGAAGCAGCTCGTTTTCCACCCAGCACAGGAGACGTACGTCTCCCTCGGTCCTCCACCCAGCTGGCACGAGGACCCGAGGACACGTCTGGCAGCTTGGTAGCCCGAGGGCCCTGCAAGCCCATCCTTGCCCACGTGATCCCCACCCGCAGGATGCCCAATCTGGGGCACTGGGCGGGTAGTACCATGTTTTCTTTTAATCATTGGAAAAAAAAAAAAGAGAGAATGAGGAACTAATCATTTAGCCAGACTGTTTTTCCTAGGATAGTGCCAAAAATTTCCCTAAATTGTATTTTTTTTTTAGAAACAGGGCCTTGCTGCATCACCCAGGCGGGAGGGCAGTGCTGCAATCAGAGCTCGCTGCAGCCCCGGGCTCAGTTGATCCTCTCCCCTCAGCCTTTCAAGTAGCCGGGACTACAGGTGTGTGCTGCCATGCCTGGCTAATTTTTTTTGGTAGAGATGAGGTCTTGCTATGTTGTCCGGGCTGGTCTTGAACTCCTAGCCTCAAATGATCCTCCTGCCTCAGCCTCCCAAATTGCTAGGATTATAGGTGTGAGCCACTGTGCCTGGCCCCAAATTATATTTTTTGAGCACCCACATGTACCAGGCTCTGGGAGCAATCAAAACATGCCCAAGCCCTCCACTATTTTCCAGTTTAGTCTAAGACACAAGATTCACAGAAGGGAAGCAACAGAAAAGCAACGTGGGAGTGGGGTATCGGCTTCAGGGAGGCAGAGAACTGAGATGGGACCTTAATCCTTAGTGTGGCGGGCCGAAATATTGGCTTTTGCAAAAGCCGATATTTTCGGCCCGCCGCACTAAGAGGGTTAAAGGATGAGTGGGGTTCCCACGGCAGAGCTGACGGAAGGGCATTCTCAGCAGGGGCGGTAAGTGGCGTGGGAGAGGCTGGGGGCGCGTGTGCCTCTAAGTGGCCCAGTCCAGCTGGAGGGGAAGGCAGAGCAGGGGAGGAGGGAGAGGTGGCAGCGATAATAATAACCATAATGAAAGAAATCATTGCTAGTATTTATTGAGTGCCACTGTATACCGGGCAGTGCTTTAAGCATTGGTGGGTTAAGCCACTGAACGACCTGAGCAGGAGAGGCAGGATGAGCATGGTGAACACGCAGGGGCTCCAACCCACAACAGGGAGGCACCAACGCTACGCCCAGGGCCGGCCACGAGTGACTCCTGGTCCCCCAGCACAGACGCGTCCTGAGGAGGAACGCCACCTCAGCAGTGACAAGCCACCTTAGCAGTGCTCTAATTTGGAGGAAGGGCGCAGGAGTGGTTCCTGGTCTTGGGTTTACTGGAAATTATAAAAGCAGAAAGTGATCTGGCGAATTCGGCAGCTTGGGACAAGTTTGTTTTTAACCGAGTCACAAACGCAGGCGGCAGAGAGTCTGCGCCACCCTTGCCTGTTTCTTTCCTTTTGGAGAAACGGTAGCTCTGGCTTTTGGTGATTCCCAGATGAGCTCGGGAAGGAGCATCTGTCTCCCGAGAGAGGACGGGGCCGACGTACCTGTGCGAGAGGATGATCTTCTTCATGTTGTCGGCCATGAGGAAGTTGTAGAAGCGCCGGCACTGATCCCACTGCATGAAGGTTTCCTGGGCCCTGGAAGAACCATGCGAGAGTGAGTGGGGCTGTGGCGCGGGGTTGGGGACAGCCGGGGGGTTCTAGCCGGGGGAGGGAGGCGCTTGCGGGGAGAGCACTGCTCTCTGGCTGCGGCCCCTACTTGGAACGGGGGCTTTGATGGGTGGCGCTCAAACATCTGGAGAAACCACACGATGCCACCGAACATGACACCAGCAAGGACCCTCTCTCAAGGCAGAGGCTTTGTTGGTGGCATTCCTGACACCTTCTTCTAGCACCTTGGCATCTTCTGTGACCAAGGTCCACTTTGATTGTCACTTGAACACTCTTTATGCAGCCTCCCGCCCAGCAGGCCAGCGCTCTGGGCGAGTAAGGGAAAGTGGGTGTGGAGGGAAAAACCTTAGAAAACTTATTTTGCTGCTGGTCAAGAGCCAAAGGAAATTCATAAAATTTGATCTTCTCCAAGTAAATCTTGCTTTGGATTATCCCTGTGACACTGAAGGGACAAGGACACCTGCATGGAAACAGGGAGGCTGTCGCCCCCTCCCAGGCACGGCTGGGGGGCTGGTCAGAAACTAGCACGTGCTAGGCCTGCCTGCCGTGAGGGTGACCCTCTGACCCTCCGGGGTGGCACTACGCAGGTGCTATTATCCTTGTTTTCCAGGGCCCAGCTTCCACCACCAGCCTGCGCAGGAGGGAGAGAAAGCGCCGCCAGGCTTGTCAACGTGCCTCGGGGGCCGGATTCCTGCGCCCACGCATCAGGTGAACACACACGAGCGGCTCGTTCCCCCCACGGCTACTCCGCTCTCCCCACTCCCTGCTCGCCTCCTCTGGGTGTGAGTCCAGCCCCAGGCTGCCGCTGAGTCCCCACGAATGAAAGAGAAACTTTCACTTTGCAGCTTCCTGAGTCTCCAGGTCTGATTCTACCCTGGGAATTAATCTGGGCATCACTATGTCCACACAGGTTTCATTTTTTGCATGCTTAAGAGAGGGGACTGGGTGGTTCATTGGTGTTTGTGTGTGTGTGTATGTGTTTTATTTTTAAATCCAGGGAATTTATAAAAGTAATTTCCTTGGAGCTGCTGCACTGCAATTTTGGAATGGAAAACATTTCCCATAATGTCATGGTTAAAAATAAGAGGAAGTTGGGGGAGTTGAGTGAAATGGTTTGTGGATTTAATGGTCTATGACATGCTTGCAAAACACGGGCTGAAGCTCCAAGTGAGGACTGACACCACTTTCAGCAGTGAACAGGCCACTGTATAAACACACAGGGGCCTCCCCAGTGCTCTGTGGAGACAGAAAGGACAGGCCCCATCATCCTGGATGGGACCCCGAGAAGGCAGCACTGTGGATACCTGCCCGTGGGGAGCAGAGGGGTCACCTGACCAGTAAACCACAAGCTGCTGCCGCAGCTGCTCCCTCTCCTCTGACCTTGGGCCCAAGGGGTCCCTCCTGAGAGCCAGCTGTCCCTGGGAAGCCCAGCTTTCTCTCACCCTTGTTCATTTCTCCTTTTGCTGACCTCCCAATTGGGGGGACACTCTTGCTTGTGTTAGTACCTCCTTCACAGGGACTACAGGGACTGCAGAGGCAGGGAAGGAGTGAGTGCTGGCCGTAAACTGAAGACACAAAGACACTCTGGCACTGCAGGAGATTTTTCAGTTGCATCCCACCACAGGCTCTGCTTGCTGAAAATCTGGGGACTTGCAGGGGCCCAGGGCTCAAGGAGGGACTGGGGCAGGATGCTGGGGCCAATGTTTCACTTGGTTTATTTTGGCTACTGTTGATCCCTAGTACTCTTGCTTTACCACTCAGTACATACAGGGCTGTCTTTTACCACCTTTGGATACATAATAAGGAACTGAACTTAATTCTATATTGGTTTAGTAAAACAAAATCAAGATTAATGTTTTACAAAAACATTCATCCCGTGTTTTTTTTTTTTTTTTTAAAGGACTGACTTGTTCAATACCACCACCACCAAACAGGAAATAAGAGAGGGGAAGCCTATAGACTAAAAGAATCTTAAGGGACAAATCAGTAAATGCAGAGTGTGGGCATTATGTGGTCCTGACTCCAACAGGCCCACTGGTAAAAGTTCCTAGGGAACAACCAAGGAAATCTGAACCCTGACTAGCAATGGGATGATATTAGGGAATTGTTAAGTTTTTGGTGTGATAATGGTATTTGTGGTGACATTTAAGAAAAAGTCTTTAGAGTCTTTTAGAGCTACCTGGTAAAATATTTACTGATGAAATGACAGAATATGTGGGACTTGCTTTAAAATAATCTGGTGTTCGGAGGAGCAGTTGAGCAGACGGGTGTGGAGTGGCCACGAGGTAAGTGCTGTTGAAGCTGGTGGTGGGGGTGGGGGCTAATATCCTATTCTTTTTACTTTGCATGTGTGTCTAAGACTTTCCAAGATAATGAAGGAGAAGGAAGAGGAGGAGGATGAGAAAGAAAGAAAGTAGAAAATCATTTTGGGTAGTAAGTTGCTGAAAATTATTTGTGCTGCTGAGAGTTAAAGATCAAAGGGGTACAGAGAAGAGGCGAAGTGAGTTTAACTGGTTAGACTGCAGCACTGTGAGCCTCAGCTACCATTTTCAGGGGTGGTAAAGAGACCAGGCGGGCCGTCTGGAACCAGGACCTGCACAGCCCATCATCGAGACCCTCACTCATGCGGCTCCCACCAACGTCAAACTGCAATCTGTCGGCACCGGTTTTCAGTGACGGAAGGCAGGAGACAGGGTAATGCTGGTGTGGCAAAGAGCCTGGGCCTTGGGGCTGCCGATGGGATGATGGTCTAAGAAGACGTCTGGGCCACCCGGCTGGCAAGAGGTAGAGCAGGAACTTGAACTGTGGCCCTAAGCCATGTGGTCAGCTTCACGACCCAGTGGTGGATAAGCTGAGCCGTTTCCTAGGCTTGGGTTTTGCCTGTCTTGCTTAAACTCCGCAGTTTTCCCTACTCTGTTTGATTCTGATACAAAATCACTGATTGTTCAAAGTTACCATATTTTATAGCTCTTGCACTATAAACAGATTTCAGGAAGGTACAACTCTATGGAGGGACTTTACGAATGATAATGCTTGCTTCTGTCATAAACTCACTCATAATCTGGAATTGCCCATCAAAAGCAAAAGAGAGAATCACACCGCTTGACAGGAGCAGTGGCCCCTGGCCTTTCTCTGGGGCAGGGGGCTTTGCTACCAAACACTATCACATTAAGGTGGCCAAGACTTAGTCACGCTGACACACTCAGCCAGGAGCACGAGTGCATTCAGGGAGATTGAATGCGCCTCTGACAATTCCTGGCAGAGGAATGACACGGTCTGCTGCTGCTGCAACCCTGGAGCTGAGCCGGCTGGAGGTGATGGCCTCTCTGCAGGTTGGCCTCCCCCAAGGGACAACCAGCTGCCAGCCCAGAGCCTTCTGCCTGGGTCTCCGTACTGACCTCCCTGCCTGGCTGAAGACTTCCCTGGCACACATGCCTCGTGTGTAATGTATATATTGGCAACGCGTATTTTGTTGGTTTGCGGCATTGTAAATATCATTGTATTGTCATTAAGTGCTGTGAGGGCCTCAGCAACGGACTATCTTTTACAGCCAAGTTGCAATACAATGCTTATGTTTTAGTTATATTATTATTGGTCACTTCTGCAACAGAAGGGCTTCCTTGGCAAAGAAGAATTGACTTTACCCAAAACCAGGACAAAAAAGCTTTCCTTCCATTCCTTAAGCTCCACGAGGGCAGGGCGTTTGTCTGCCTTGTTCAGGGCCGTGTCTGCTACCTGGGAGGACATCTGACCGTGAAGACTCCAGGGCTGGTTCGTGGCTGTGTATGCTGAGGGCACACGTCTCGGTCTGCTAGACACCAGGTAACTTCAGGGCATTTGTGTCCTTCCTCCAGGGTCCCGCGCACAGTGAAACGTGAGCTTCTGGGGCAGCAGCTAGACTTTGCTAACTACGGCAAGCGGGAGGCTGGCTTCTCTCGGAGCCTTCAAGTGGCTCTGGCTAGAGGGGAGGCAAGCTACGGGGACGAGAAGCCAGAGGGAAGGGATCACTGAGCAAGCGGATCTCCAGACTCAACTAGGGGGGATTTACCAGAAGCACCGGCTGCTGTGTGGCCCGCAGAGGCCGGCGAGCCTTCCCTGCTCCACTGCGGAGTGACGGGGGCACACACCACGCACGGCTGCCTTCATCCCGTGCGGAAAAGGCTCCCTGCCCCCGAGCCTTGTAAGAAAAGAAGGTTATACTGGTTTAAAGAAGGAACTGTTCTCCATTCATTCCATAGGTCTGGACCTGAGCCCCAGCCAGCGCCCGCACACACGGGGCAGCGGTGTCTCTGTCCTGCTACCAGTTGCTGTGTGTAGGACCGCGTGCTCTTCGCCCAGATGTCAGTTCTCCGTGCTCCGGAGAATAAAGTTGCCTCTTTACTCCTTATTGCATGAGGGTGATGTGACAATAGGTAATTATGTGTGTGAAGCTCTCTGAGCTCTCAAGGAAGAGCCTGTGTATATCATATCTGCAAAATGTGTAGCAACTCACAGATTTTAGTTTCCTAGCTTCCCGAGCCTGCTTTGCCTAGTGCAAACGCCTTAGCTGGCTAACTGCGCCGATCATGTGCCCTTGCCAACAGCAGATGGCGCTACTGCAGCAAAATGAAACAGGTGTTATTTTAAGATTTTGTACATTGAAAATGTACAAAAAATGAAAACAAACTTGTTCTACACCCTTCCACTTATCAAGTCCAGCACTCTCTGAACACAAAGTCACTGGTCACAGCAAGTCCACAGCCATTGGTTTTAGGAAGGGAATCTAGCGATTCCAACCTTACAGACAACAGAAAAGAGTGCTAAGAGCTGCAGCCGTTGTCAGGTGAACAGGCAAGAGCCTCCTGCCTCCCGGCTCCTCCCGGCCTGCTTCCTTGGCTCTCGTGGCAGGCCCCTTGCTTGCCGCTCCCTTATCCCAGGGACTGGACGGGACCGGACTTTGGTTAATTCTGGCCACGTGTGAGCATGAACTGGACGTTGAGTATTTCTAGTTGAGCCACGATAAAGGAACACGGCCTTTCAGCCGGCTCCCCAGAGTGTCCGGGGCAGTGAAGGGAAAGATTCCCAGAGGAGGATGAGGGACCACCTAGTCCTCGAGTGCCAGGGCTGGAGGGGCCACTCAGGTCCCCAAGGGGATGACTGTTAAACATGGCTGAACACCGGAAGTCACCTATGAAATGTGTCCAAAATGAAGACCCCTGGGGTCCTGTGGCTCAGACTTTATCAGTCAGAACCTCCAGGGCGGGGACCAAGAAGCTGAATTTATTTCTAACATGGTCCCCCAAGTGCAGTGAGACAGTCACTAGTTCACCAGAGTGGTCTTTGTGGTCCACTGCTCTAATCCACCTCCACTTTACAGTGACTGATGATGATGATGATGATGATGATAATGATCATGATGATTCACAGCTGTTACATTCCATGTGCCAGGCACTGTTCCAATGACTTCATACACATCGACTCCTTTCACCCTCCCTGTGGTGCTATGAGGTAGGTACTGTTCACAGTTATTATCACCTTTCATGTCGCAGATGAGGAAAACTGGAACCCAGACCTTGGCCCTAGAACTCAGGGATGTCTCCCTATGTCTACTCTGGGCACCTTTGGATCCACCTTTCTGGCCAGCTTTATGCCTCACAGGTTGAATCTTGGGCCCACATTTGCCCTTTGGCTTCAAATTCCAGGACTATGTATTTTTAGAAATAAAATCAGGAAATAATCAGGAAATAACAAATTAGGTTTAAACTGCAGCATGAGAGATACAGGTGAGGCAAAACGGAAAGATTCTTTTAACAATTATAAAGAGTGTTTAGCGTTAGACTTGATCAATAGGGAGATATTTTTACTTTCTTGTGCAATTTTGGGTTTCTTCGGAAGATCTTTACTAACTGATCATAGCCATTTGTAATCCAAAAGACATCAGGAAGAATGAGTACAGGAGAAAGATGATGTATCTGAGCAGCTTAGAGAGATGTGTGCATGTGAGTGAGTGTGGCGGGAGCGAGACATCTAGGACAGCAGTGACCTCGGAGGGGAGTCAGAGAGGACGACCATGCCCTCCCAGGACGCATCCTGTGGGTGTCTGCTGGCAAGAGACTACAGGGCAAGAAGCAGCTCTACCTGGTAGGTCAACTCCTTTGTGATGACGTCTGGGATACCTGAGCGAAACGCATACTTGAAGGTAAGGACTCTGATAGAGTGATTGCTGTGTCCCTTCCAGATGCCATCGGAGACCCAGCTCGTCTGCAGGTAGGAGGGATCTGGGATCATGCGGCCCAGCTCTCCTGTGTTCTTTCATTAACCTACGGTTCTACAAAACTCCTGAAGCATCAACAGATTAAGTCACCTCTCAGAGATTCCCTAGGGAAACAGCAGCTACTGGTGGGGGAAGGGGGGGGCTGCCTTCTCCAATTACAGATCTGATCCCAAAGTGCAGCTGCACATTCCAGGCTTAAGGGGTCTGATGGGACAACTCCAATGTACAATCTGGAAACAAACAAGGTGAGTCAAAGACTCGGAAGCTTCTGCTCAGTCTGCCACAGTGTTTCCCTGGCCTTCACGGACCAGCGCCTGGTGCAAACACGTGCTGCATGAAGGCCCCGGTGGAGGTGGAGATGACGTACCTCAGTGCACTGTAGCCCTGGCACACGCTGACACAGCACAGGACCTTCTCTTGGTTCGCCTGAGTCTCCCCCAAGTATTTACACACGATGTTACCACCCAGGCTGAAGCCCACGACGACCAGCTGGGTCAGGGGATATGTCTTCTTGATGTAGTTCACCATGGCTCCAAATTCCCACGTGCAGCCTGCGGGGGGAAAAAGGGGGGGGCAACCAAGCAACCCAAGGGGAAAAAAAGAAGGAAAAAAAAACAACCGAAAGGTCACTAATGGGTGCCAATATCCTAAAACATACACACATTATGTGTATGTGGGTGTGTAAAGAGAGAGACAGACAAATAGACGCTGCTCTTTGGCTACCTAGAGAGAAGTTCCCAGACGCCCTCCGTATAAGAGAAAACAGGGCATCAGTGGTGCCCACGAGCACAGGTACCATGTATCAATGTGCAATGCTCCTTTAAAGGTAGGTCACAAGAAGCCTGTCTAGATGCTCATGGAAATCAAGGCAGATATTCTGGGTGTGCATGAGCACATGTGTTCACACACAGATCTAAATAAAAGCAAGAGAAAGACTCTTTGGAATTAGCTTCGTAGGTTACCAACTGGGATGCTATACCCATGTGTATGACTCACGGTGTTAAGAAAAGTACAAAATGGATGTTATTTACAGGATCTTCTTGCCAGCGTTGGGGAGGGAAAGAAAGACAAACTTCAGTCCAGAGGGATAGCCAGGATGCTCTGTAGGATTTGGGTAAAATGTTCTTGGTGACGTAGGAACAGGGTGCTAAGGGAGGCAGACCCATTCAGAAATACACAGAGGAGAACTCTGAATGGAGAGGGTGTTTGGGCCTGGTTTGCCCAGGAGGGATGATCTCAGCTGGCGTGCCCTCGGGAAGTTGTTGAAGTCATGTTATGTCTCAGCAGCTTTGCTAAGAGGAGGAGGGTAAAGGTCAGAAAGAGGTGAAGGGATTCATCGTGTTCTTCTAAGGCCCAAGCCCAGACTCTGTAGGGAGCCAACTTAAAACCTGCAGGGAGCCAACTTAAAACCTAACAGGAAAGTCAGGAATGTGGGCGAGGAGTATATACAGCACAGACTGGCACGAGAAGAATATGGATTCACAATGGAAACACGAGTTGCTGACCTTGGCACAGGCTCAGAGGTTGTGACATCCCTAACAGAGTTGAACAGCTTCTTCCCTGATCAGCAAATCATGGGGTACACTTTTGAGCCTGGGGCAAACTCCCCCTGTATCTGTCTTCCTTTTGTAGCAGATGCAGCCTAAGCCAGCCAGCACAACCACATGCAGGAGTTCTTAGATTGCAGTGTGCGTCGAACCACCCGCAGAGGGTGTTAGACACAAGCCTTCCTGGGCCGCACCCCTAGAGAAGCTGATTCCTTAAGATGGGGGCCAGGCTCAGGAATTAAAATACATTAAAATTTTTTTGAGTGGGTAATTCATGCACGTGGCACAAAATTCAAATACTGTAAAAGATGCAGTGAAAAGTGAGTTTCATATGTTTTTTCTTTTTAAGTACCAGTCAGTGGTAGCATACACATTGTTTGGTACCTTTTTCCCCCTTTACAGTATGTCTTAGAAACTATTATATATTAGTATAATTACACATGAAGCTGCCTTATTCTAGAATATTCCTGACACCCCTGGAGGCTCCTTGATGCCTCTTCTCAGACAATATTCCCTACACTTTGACTAATGATCATGATCTGAAAGTGCTGGGAGCTCCTGAGGCTTGGAAGGAGAAAGGGCAAAACATACTTAAGACTAAGGGAAAGCCTGGGGCCAACAGTGCTCCCATCTAACACGGCAGGACCCGGGCACCAGCTCGGAGAAGGAAGCATGTCTCTCTCCAGTAAGATATCAGAGGACCACATCTCCCATTTCTCTCCCTTTTGCACACAGCAGAGGCTGGGGCAGAGTGCAGGCCCTCAATAAAGAGTTGCCGAATTAAGTGGATTCTGATGACAAGGCCCCCAAACAGGTCCTGGGGACAGGGCAGGAACAAAAAGCTGGTCCAGGGGGAACCTTGAACACTTAACTTTGTAATCTGAAATGCCAGACTTTTAACTCCACTTAGGTCAGATTCATCCAAGTTTCTCTTTTTAAAAAGGTAGCAATGGAAGGGATACAGTACCTCTAGAGCAGCAGTCCCCAACCTTTTTGGCACCAGGGACTGGATTCATGGAAGACAATTTTTCCATGGATGGGATGGGAGTTGGGGGGCTCAGGTGGTGATGTGAATGATGGGGAGCAACTATAAATACAGATGAAGCTTTGCTCGCTCATTTGCCTGCTGCGTGCCCCCCACCAAGTTTCATGGAAAGGGTTGTATTGCACAGAGTTCTGGGGCCTGGTCCGTGGCTTGGGGGGTTGGGGACCGCAGCTCTAGAGAATGATGGATTTTGAATGGGGAGCTGTGATGTAAAAGAAGGACCTTCAAGCACAATTAGCTGATATCACAATTAGTAGTTAGCTGATGTCAACTTCTCTGTCATGCAACAAATCAAAAATTTGGATCCCATTAGAGACATTTGCTCACTTCCTTCAGGCCTGAAAAGAGGGCCTTCAAGGAGTAGTCTGGCCTATGGCTAAGTGAAAGGGCTCCGTGGTCAGACTGCTGCGGCCTACCACCTAGTGGCTCCAAATGCTCCCGACCTTCCTCAGTGACAAGTAATCCCTGGGGTGCAAGGAAAGTCTACAGCTTCCAGGCTCCCTGATGGAGGCTTGGAGCCCTTGGGAATAGTACAGGACCTGGGTATGGGTACTTCTAACAAATACCCCAGATGATTTTAAATTGTGAGGAAACTGTGGAAAATATCATCACCTTGGGTAAGTTACTAACCATACTGGGTCTGTTTCCTCACTTGGAAAATGGAGGTAATACTAGTAAATACTTCCTAGAGTTGTTTGGAGAGCTGAATAAGGTGATATACATAAACAGCTTAGACTAGGGTCCAGAACATATAAGCATGCAACGCTAACTTTTATAACTAATTATTTTTTCTTTTAAAAATATCATTTAAGTATACCCATGTACATAGCAGCATTATTCATAAAAGCCCAAAAGTGGAGCCAATTCAAGTGCCCATTGATGGATGAATGCGTAAAGAAAATGTGGCATATGTGTACATTGGAATATTATTCAGCTCTAAAAAGGAAGAAAATCCAGGCATGTGCTACAACATGGATGAACCTTGAGGACATTGTGCTGAGTCAAAGAAGCCAGTCACAAAAGGACAAATACTGTAAGATTCTACTTATACAATGTACCTAGAATAGTCAAATCTATAGAGGTAGAAAATACAATGGTGGTTGCCAAGGGCTAGGGAGAGGGAGCTAGGGAGTTATTGTTTAATGGGTATAGTTCTAGTTTTGCAAGATGAAAAAGTTCTGAAGATAGGTTGAAAAGCAATGTGAATATACTTAAATACCTTTCGTACTGCATAGAAATCTCTAAGACAGACGCCAGGGACCGCTCGTTTTTGGGCAAACTGCACGTTATTTAAATCATCATAACTACAGTGAAAAACGAGAAAACTCGTGAGCGGTCCTTAAGGTGTTAACTCTCCTGAACTGCACACTCAAAACTGGTTAGGATGGTAAATTTTACGTTGTATTTTATCACACTTTACAAAAAATATTTTAAAAGAACCTGTAGCTTTACACACTTGAACAGGCCAATCTACATTGGTCTACATTTATAGATTTTTTTCTCTGAAGCAGCATTCTTCAACCTGACTGCACAGTAGATCACCTGGAGATCTTGTAAAATAACAGCTCGAATGCCTGGGCCTCCCTAGACTAATTAAACCCGAAAGTCTCGGGGTGGGACGAGGCATGGGCGTTCTTCTTCAGGATCCCTGGGTGATTCCAACGTGCAGGCGGGGCTGAGGAGCACTGCTCTGAGGAGCAAGGATCTCTCCAGCTCAGACAGACAGGAGAAGGCATTGTTCTGAGGCACCCTCTCATCTCTCTCTGGGCCATCCCTTTTCAGGCTCCCTTCTCTTCCTACTTGTAGTAAGCAACCTTCACAGATGGGGGCGCTGTCCAGCCTTTTGGAAGCATCTGAAGCTTAGCCTGATAGTAGCTTTCCAAACATTTCCTAAAGCAAGGTTTCTGCAGGGGGTGAATCCCTATTTAACACAACCAGGCACTTCCTCCAGATCCACTGACTACCTAACAAAAACAAACTTTAAGTCCCTAAACACACGTAATTGCTTTCTGGTAATCTTTCTCGTAAAGAGTGAATGATGGATGGCCGGGCGTGGTGGCTCACGCTTGTAATCCTAGCACTTTGGGAGGCCGAGGCGGGCGGATTGCTCAAGGTCAGGAGTTCAAAACCAGCCTGAGCGAGACCCCGTCTCTACTAAAAATAGAAATAAATTAATTGACCAACTAAAAATATATATACAAAAAATTAGCCGGGCATGGTGGCACATGCCTGTAGTCCCAGCTACTCGGGAGGCTGAGGCAGGAGGATTGCTTGAGCCAGGAGTTTGAGGTTGCTGTGAGCTAGGCTGACGCCACGGCACTCACTCTAGCCTGGGCAACAAAGTGAGACTCTGTCTCTAAAAAAAAAAAAAAAAAGAGTGAATGATGGGAAAAGCTGCACGGAGGTTAAATAGCACTGCAAGAACGATGACCTAGCTCAGTGGCTCTCAAAGTGTGGCCCCTGAACTAGAAGCATCAGAAGCCTGGGAGCTTGTTCATGATGCCTTTTCTTGGGGCCCACCCCAAACCTGGAGTCAGAATCTCCAAGGGTGGAACCTAAACAGAGAGCTTGTTTAAAACAGAGCTTGCTGGGCCACACCCCCAGAGTGTCTGATTCAGAAGGTCTGGGTCTCCCACCCACTCACTGTGTGAGGGTGGGCTACAAATCTGCATTTCTAACAAGTTCTTAGGTGATGCTCATGCTGGTGGGCCAGGGACCACCCTTTGAGAATCACTGCCCTAGCTGACAGGAAAGGTGGGTGGAATCCTCAATTTTCTGTTTCATCTTTTTTTTTTTGAAATGGGTTGAGCTCTGTTTCCTGGGCTGGAATGCAGTGGCATCATCATAGCTCACTGCAGCCTCAAGCTCCTGGGCTCAAGTGATCCTCCTGCCTCAACCTCCCTAGTAGCTGGGACTATAGGTGTGTGCCACCACACCTGGCTAAATTTTCTGGTTTTTG